GGGGGGGGGCGGTGCATGGGGTGATATTTGCTTGTGGGGTTCATTTGTAGTTTTGGGGAATCTTGATCCTGCTGTAGAAGTAAAAACTGTTCCAACATTAAGACAGTAGAGATGACAGATCCAGGAAAGCAAGGGAAATTTCAGATGCTTGTACATCTGTGCAAACTGTTCCAGACAGGATCTCAACCAGCTTGATAAAGCTTTTCAAAAAGCAAGCAAAGGCTCTGGCTGTTACTGTGTGGCTGGGATAGCAGCTTTCCCCCTGTGATATGGATGGTTGTGTTCAGTGTGAGATGTACAACTGCTGAAACAGACCTAACTGGGCTTTTCTTCCATAAATTTTGGCTATGGGAAATCTGTACAAGTAACTGCTCCAGGGAACAAGACTGTGTGTCAGAAACCGGGGTTTGTGATATGGATCAAGATGTCCTCCAGCTCTGGATGAAAGCATCTGTGCTGCTGGCAGGTGCCCTGAGGGTTGCAGTGAATGGAGTTCTGGAGCAGGCAGCTGTTGCCCTGGGTGTGGTAACAAGGTTCTCAGTTCCCATACATAATGGGTTTGGTTTTTTGAAGAGCAGAGCTGTGCCTGCTGCTGGCATAAGAGGGGCATGAACATGAGCAGAGCTGGGCAGTGTTAAGGTCTGACCCATCCACTATCGGTGAGTCTGTGCCAGCATTAATTAACCACAGAGGAGCTCTTTATGTTCAAATCATACAGGAAATATTACAGAAATTCTTGAAAGAAATGTCAGTTGTAGCTATACTGCATGACAGTTGAGACATTTAAAATTGTTTCTCCACAGCAAAAAGAACCAAGTCCTCCTGGCTGCTGTACTTGACATGTCTGAGATTTTTTTTTTAAGAGGACCCCTTCTCTAACCTTGACTGCTGCCTCAGTCTTGCTCAAACTTGTATTCTGTGCTGTCCTGTCCACTTTTAGGTTTTTTTTCCTTACTCTGGGTGAAAGGCAAAGATTTTAAGATGGGTTTTGAATCTGAAAAATATTTTCCCCTTTTATCTGGGACACAGAAAAGCTGGGGAATTTTAAGGATTCAGTGAGGGGCTTACAGTGCATGCCCATGCTGCCCCAGCTTAGAAGAATGTGGCCTTTTTGTTTCTCTTACACTTCTTAATGGAGTCTTAGCTTTTAAGAGCTCCACATTAGAGAGAAAGACTCCAGCAAAACTGAAAGCACTGCTCTAGGAATACATCATGCAGTGTTGCCTCAGCACCAGTGCTGCTGGGCTGCCACTGCTCTGAAGGACTGACCTAAAGGAGATAGATTTTACAGGGGCCCTTCTCCGGTGCCCTATGGGAAGACAAAGGGTGAGGACAGAATTGTAGCAGGTATGGACAGGCACAAGATGTTAGGATGGCCCTCAGGCACTCCGAGCAGTCCCAGCTGGTGAAAGGGGCAGCTGCACTGTCTCTCTTCCATGTATTGAAACAGCTTTCTTCCATCCAGACTGATAGAAAAACATCTTGTTTTTGAAAAACGGTTGCAGAAAGCACAGAGGACCTGTGACAGTCAGCTGCTTCATCCACCAACTTCCAGTACCTGTGAAAAGCTGGGAACACAAGTACCAATGATGTAGCAGTGAAAGATAATGAACCATTGTACTACCATGGCAGTTTACAGGAACTGCAGCTGCTGAGTCTTGCTGACAGAGAGCAGCAAGAAGAAACTGAACAAGTACTTCAAAGGTATTTCTCCACAGTGCCTAAAGAATTGTTTTTTTTATTGTAGCTACTTTCTCATCTTTTGTCCACCAAAACCTTTTCCTTAGCAGGAATAAAGAAAACATAATAAAATCAGACAAACACCAGCTTCAAACATCTTTTCATATGCCTTTTATGCATCTTTAGTCAGGATTCTGAATTTATATTGCCAACTAAAAGAGAAAGATGGCTGCAAAATCCATCCCTTAATAAAATCATCAGGAACCCATATTTTATTCCCATGTCCTGTAGAACTCCCTCTCTCCCAAATGCCTCAAGGGAAAAAAACCAAAACCCCAAACAAAACAAACCCCCAACATCAACAGCCTTTGACAAACTACTTCCTATGTCAACTCTTAGAGCATTAGTAGACATTTTTAGGTTAGATTGTACAACAGTTTCTAAATAGCATCTATATTATATGGACACTCGTTCAAAACCTTTTGTCCCCACCATGAACAGCTCAAATGTTTACCACTGACACGTGCTGTGCAGCACTTACACACACACAGAGTGTAGGGTTGTGTGTACGGTGCAGGGGTAGCTGGGGAAGGGGGAGCCACATACAGGGAAACTGTCATTCCAACACAAGGGAACACTTAGGAACATCCCCTTTCCTTAGTCACTCCCGGGGCCATGCACTGTGACTAACATGAACTAGAGCTACACAAAGTCCCCAGTGCTGGTAGTGACATACCTGATTCTCAGCCAGTGCTGTTCATGCATTTCAGGTGTTCACACTTAGCAAAATGAGGTATCTAACAGATTTCAGAGGTGGAGATGCCAAGTCTGTTCAAAACCCAGACTTGTTAACATCCATCAATACTGTTCACAAAAACACAGGCAACTATTCTAAATCAAAACAGAAAGGACTGTATGTTATGTTGCTGTTCTAATTTTATATAGCTTAACGTGACATTCCACAAAATTGAAATAAGTGTGCTGTTGCTTAGTTATTTGGCATTCTTTAAAACTTTCAAGAACCAAAAATTAAAAACTGGTTAATTGAACTTCATACTACAAAGTCACAGTTCTTAAAAGGATACAATAAATCTGCACCATTTTGATGGTGAGCACTCAAATACATTAAGAATTTATCCACAATAGTTTTGCTAATTATATAGGCACATAGTGGCATGTAAACTACATGTGGCAACCAGAACAGCAAAGGCACAATCTGAATTATCTTTTTTTTTTCCTTCACTTTTCAAGATGTTGGTTAATTTACAAGGAAAAATATTTAATACTTCATGAAGAAGTATTCCATTTGTATTTTACAGCACAGGACCATTACAGAACTGCTGTCATCGGATCAAATGGGTTATTTAAATAATAATAAAAAAAAAGTAGCAGCTTGTTGCACCAAGTAACTGAATTTGTGAATTAAAGGAGAGTACATATTCTCATCTGTCAGGTTGAGAACATCTGAAATTCTCCATCTATCTTCTTGTCTACAAAAAAACATTGCCTGCACATTTAAGGTAGTTACAAGTTTTCTGGTTAGCTATTTTCAGCTTGTATTTGTTTTCCTATGTCACTTGACTAAACTCAGAAGTTAAGATCTGTTAAAGTCTGTAAAACTATCAGTTGCTTCTCTAATACAAAAGTAGTTTTAAAACACTGACATAACTAGGAATCAGACTGCAGTCCTCTATGAATTGAGCCTATTCATGTCTTTGTTCACACCTGCAGACCTGTGTTTGTTGGAAGGGAATCACTCTAAGCATAACTGCTTTCTCATCAGGAGACAGGCGCTACAAGTTTCAAACCAGAACATAGCCCTCAGCAATTCATAATGCAGTGACTTAGAAGTGTAATTTTTCCCCAGGGCTCCAAGTATATGACAGTTCTGCATTTGACATATAAACATTACAGTGAGATAAGTAGAAAATTTTAGTGTACAAATGGTAAAGATCTTTCTATTAAAAAAGACATTTCATGTAATTACCTTAAATAGTTCTTATATGCACCATTCCACATTGTGGAAAAGCTGAAATATGCAGTCTGGACTCCACAAGTTAAAGAAAAACAGAATTATATGTATTGGCACAAATACTTACATCTACATCTGTACAAAGTAAAAAAAGCTGACAACCCTGTCCCACCAGTGCAGTGTATTCAACTGCTCTCCAACACACACTTTCCTATGTGACTGCCAACGAGTGACAGTGAGATGGGAACTTAAGAGCGTGGTGCCAGAAAGTTCCAAACTGCTTGGTCAGTCTCTAAACAGAGGAATCAGAAGTATATCCAAAGAAGTGTCAGTCCACTCAACATGCTTGCAGCTGTGAGGTCACTGCAGCTGCACTCTGTACGCTCCTATTAGCAGCTTTACCTGTAAAAGCAAACAAACATTTCATAGAAGGTTGTTCACATGTAACTACTGTGTTAAACACTTTGAATACAAGAATAGCATGAGAAAAGGCATACAGTTGCTAGTGACTGAGAAAGAAAAAAAGGTATTTACAATCTGTGTTTAATAAAATCAGTTTATAGTAGCCCTACTGTATGATGGATGGCTTGTAAAAGGACTCAAGTAGAATACTACTGCATTGGGTGGTAGCTGAACAAGTTAGCCCCAGAGCTGAACTAGACATATACATCCTTCTGAATACAAGTTCAAATTTTCCCTTTTTTAAAAAAAGATGCACAATAAAACATGTAAGAGTGTAAGTTTTAAATCTGAAGATCTAGAAAACGCACTGGAGTGTCTTCAAAGGATAAAATAAATGCTATTAGAACAGGATCTGTTATTCATCTTGCAACACGTAGTGGGACTACTGCCCAAACCACCTGGAAAATACAAGAGACTATACAGAATGTTTAAAAGCAGACTGCATATCCTAGTAAACACTTCCAAGTTCTCCTAACCAGACAAGCAAAAACATTTGTACGTAAAAAATAACTGACACTCCATGTATGTGTTAGTCATTAAATTCAAATTGTAGATGGGGAAAATGTTAGCTGTAACATTACTTTATCCTGGTGCATGAATTATTCTGACTGCAGCATAAAAACATTTAATTATGACAGAACTAACACCCTTGGCAATGTCTCAGGATGGAACTGTAACTGATGGGGACTGGGATGAGGAGACAGTGGAAAGTCCTTAGTTTTACATTTGCAACATACAACTAGGAGCATTTTAGACTATGGAAGAATTACTGTACAACAAATTAGCATGCACATTTAATTTTGAGAACATCTTGTACCTTGGCATTAGGAGCTTCTGCCAACCGTATAAAAAGCTTGTTAAGGCCTGCAGTAGGGCTGAAGGAATAAATAAAGTGACTGTCCTAAAAGGAAAAAGAAAGTGTACAAAGTTAATGGCAGGATATGACAAAGTGCTGTGCGAGTGGACTAATATGACAGTACCACTATGTATTTTTTGAAAGAAAGTTGTGTATACTGCATACTGCAAAGAACCTTTGGTGCAATCACACAGAAAACAAGAGGACTTGAAAACTGCAGTGATGTACTTAAGTTTTTTAAAAATAGGATAAAGTAAAATAATTAATCATTAGAAATATGAGGTAGGCTGTTAAATACTTTAGAAGTTTCTTGGGTCAAAAATTTGAGAGGCTTGAATTGAGAATTTGAAAAGTGAAACTGTTTTAAATTCAGAATTCTCACCTGCCTGCTCAAACCCTCAGTTCTGAAGTCACAGTATCACAGGTGTGTTGAGGTTGGAGGGGACATCTCAACATCATCAGGTCCAACCCCCTGCTCAAGCATGGCCACCTGGAAGCATGTTCTCCAGCACTATAACCCTGCCTTTTAAGTCATAAATTTTCATGGAGTCTAGTACATGCAAGGTTTGCAGTTCCCTCCATATACAAAGAAAAATTGTTTAATTTTTAAAAAAACCCTATCATGACCCTTCACAATACTCAAAATCCAAATTAAGGCATTAAGATTTCCCAGGCTGCTCCATAAAAAAATTTACAATGCAGTTTTACAGTCAATCAATTATATGAAAAGATTTACCAAAAATACAGGGAGCTGGAATTTGTCGTTTAAAACCACAGCTTGTACACTGCATGGTCCACAGAGCCGAGCAATGACTTCTTTACCAAAGAAATTTGAATGGAAAACAAAGAGAAGAATTCCAGATCCTGAAAGGGAGGGCAATTCAGTCAGGTGAATTTGATATGAGATCCACTATTTAGAAAACAACTGCATACACTGAACCTTTGAAGACAGTTAGGTACAAATATATATTAAACCCCAAGCCAGTGGACCCCAGCACAGAACACAACTGCCTTGGTCACTAAATTAAGGTCTTCTGGCAGCAGAAATAATTTATGTGGCTATTAGAAAGGAAAGCAAAATGGATACAGCAATCCTCAGTACAGTTAAAACTCTGTAGTTTTAAGTTCACCTGAAGAGTTATGGAATTTAATGTGGTTTGTGTTGTCTACTCTCTTGGTAAGGACAGCTGAGCCCAGTCAGCTACATTCAATAAACACCAATCTTCAATCCTCAGAAATGCCTCATTTTAATACATGAGCTTATGTAAGGTTTCTTAATTCTGTAAAGGATTCCTGTAATAAAGAACTGGAAGACTTATAGTACAACTCATAACAAGGAGAAAATTGGGCAGACACAACCACTTTCAATCTTAGTTTAAGTAGTATCTCAGTGTTATGTTAATGTATTATAATTTTGAGAAAAGTCAGTATATCAGTAGGTATTTTCCTGTTATACTCAAAAGGTGAATAAAAATGACTCAACTAAGCCAAGTATCAGAGATTAGTATCTGGATTCCTGAAAGAATTGAGACACATTCCCAAGTATCTTGGAAATTTGCTTCCCAGCTTTTTCAAAAGGTCCATGGGCAAAGCAGAATTGATTAATGCTGCCTTCTTTTCTGTAGTACTTCTAGACTGCATTCCTATCATGATAGCGCTCTACAGCATTCTGCAACGAGTTCCGTAATTCAGTATTCTGTGCAAAAACAGACTGTCTACAAAAATCCACGGTGAGATTTTCTAAATAAACTAAAACCTAAGATTTTTCAAAATTATTAATTCTAAGGTAAACCACTCCTCTAATACCTATTACTTAGTAATGCAACCTTCACAGAGCCAACATAACCCAGAACAGAAGAAAACAGCTGATGTATGTGGGAATTAGGAAAAACTCTTAAAAAGACGCACACAAACTCCACTGACAACATGCCTAGTTCTGCTGCTCTGCCTGTGCTCCATGATCAGAGCATCCTTAATGTAGTGTACTGCAATCAGTCACACAACAATAATTTCGCATAGCAGATAGTTTAAGACATACTTAAAAAGCAGTTTCTTAACAAACTGTTTTTCCTTTTTTAAAAAAAAAAAACAAACCCAAACAAACAAAAACACCACCACCACAAAAAAAACACACACCCCTACCTTCTGGCACATTTTGTGGAGGTTTATAGTTAAAATCCGTAGAAAAGTCTGGCCCTTCACAGAGACGATGACATGCAATTGGAAAGACTGGCTCCAGCAAAGCAAGACGAGCTTCAAAATAATCCCTGATGGTATCTTCTGCTACTCTTGAGAGCCTAGAAGACCAAACGAGTGAGGCCTGTGCTTCGCACAGTAAAATCACTTTACCATAGACTTAGTGAGAGCTGACGCAAAAAAGGATTCCAGATCACCTTTCTGGACTCCCACTTTTCAGGAGTGAGTGCCTTTATCCCTAGCATTTATGTATAGATGAAACCCAGGTCCCAGTACTTTATCAATAACTATATTAATAACACATTTTATCAGTGACTTGCTTGTGAAATTCATCTATTGGGTCCACAAAAATAAACTGCTGAGACAAATGCACTGCAGCAGATTAAAAAAAAATTCTGACTAGCCACGTACTTTGAAGGCTCTTTAGGTAGAAAGATGTCCCCAAAACATCAACACGTACCTAGTGGGTAGAGACAACCATTTCCCCAGAGTGGCTGATTTATCAACCTGACTGTAAGTACGATATTAAAAAAACAAGTAAGTCACTGTGTAATTTTACTGGCAATACTGTCGGAAGAAAGCAGTCCCTGGTTAAAACCTACTAATAATGCAGTGAAAAAATAGCAAAACTACCATTAAGTAGCCAAACTGGGGGGGTTTTTTGTTTGTTTTTTGGGGATTGGATGAGGGGCAGCATTTAATTTAAGCAAGCAGCCCAGCCTTCAAAGAGAGACCACATAAACCAACAGTATTTGGCACCTTTACAAGCAGGTTCCCAAGTAATCCTCTTCAGAAAGCTGTTTTGACACAAATGAGTTTTAAATGCTTTTGCAATGCAAAGGTCCCAGCTCTCTCAGCTTTATAGCTTTTTTAGCTATTATTCAGAGCACATTTCCCGTCCCTGCTAGCTGAGATTACCATCTGCAGAATCTAAAACTTAAGTGTTTGACTGGAAAGAAACCACAAGAATTACCATACCAAACCAAGCCCGGAAGCCCATCTAGCCTAGTTTCCAGATGCTAGACAAAGCTGGATTAAATGTGGGAAATTAAGCAGTTGTGGGGTTTTTTTTGTACACTGTCCCTAGTTTCCAGCAATCTGATTTAGAGGCATCCAAAACTAAGAGACTGCAGCCAAATTGTACCTCTCCTTAGATATACTTAGTCCTTTCCGCAATCCCATGTGACCACAGCATTCTGCAACACGATCCATAATTCAGTATTTCTGTGTAAAAATATTCCTCCACTTCAAACCTATCACTAAATCATTTAACAGTATGGGCTGCAGAACCTGCCTCAGGGCTTTTCTGTTGTTGTTTTCTGATTTTATTTTAAATTCTGACCACCTAATCTGTCCCAAGGTGCCATCACCTCCCTCGGTCTATCCTCCCAGAAGCTTCTCCTTATGTCTGATCATCTTTATTTCTTTATGCTTCATCTGTTTTTGAAACAAGGTAACTGGAATAACACATAACTATTTAAGGCATTGGGATACCATGGATTTAAATTTTATCTTCAGCTCCACTACTACTGTATTATCTTCCTTTTTGACTGACAAGAACTGAACTGGTATTTTCAGATAATGAGTCTCACCTGGTAAAGAGTTGTATTATTCCCTCCATACACTGATACCCCATGGACATCACTTTGTATTTATCAGTATTTAATTTCCATTGCCATTTTACTGGCAAAATTACATGTCCAAGGTATCCAAAACTCAGTAGTCAGATTAGCCAAAACTGAAGGTAGCAGATTTTACAGCAAACAAACTGGCAAAGGCATCAAATAGTGAGTGAGTGAGTCACAAAGTTTCAATACACTGAACAGCGGGTACCATATCACTTATCTGCATGCTTGCTGTTGCCTTCAAAACCTTAACTTGCAACTCATGATTTCCTTCCCTGGGGGAGAATCAGCATACTCCATTTATCCACTTCAACCACCCCTGCTCACTTTAACAAATTTTCTAAGTTCAAAAAATTTTCTAAGTTTGAAAAATTGGTTTTCTGCTTTTAACTGCATTTAGCTGCTTTTTGGGCTGCATTAGGCAAAGCAGGTCAAAGTAGGTCAAGGGAGGGCGTTCTCCCCCTCTACTCAGCACCGTGGAGATGGCACCTGGAATACTATGTCCAGTTCCAGGCTCCTTGCTAACAAGAGACATGGATGTATTGGAGACTGTCCAAAGGGACACAAAGATGGTCAGGAGCATCTGACAGAGGAGGAAAGGCTGAGATAGCTGGGACTGTTCAGCCTGGAGAAGGCTCAGGGGGATCTTATCAATGTGTATATATATATATCAATAAACACCTGAAGTGAGGGGGTAAAGAGGACAGAGCCAGGCTCTTTTCAGTGGTGCCCAGTGACTGGGTAAGGGGAGATGGGCACAAAGTGAAACACAGGACGTTCCCTCCGAATATCAGGAAGCACATTTTTTTTACTGTGAGGGTGACTGAGCACTGGCACAGGTTGCCCATAGAGGTTGTGAGGTCTCCATTCTTGAAGATATTCAAAAGCCATCTGGACAGGGTCCCAGGCAACTGGCCACAGATGACCCTGCTTGAGCAGGGGCTCAGAGAAAATGACCTCCACAGGTCCCTTCCAACCTCAACTATTCTGTGTTGCTGTGATTCTGTAATTACATAACTGAGTTCCTGTAGAATTCATAGGCAAATACAACATTGCCCTGGAAACGTATTTATCTGTGTTTTACTAGTTGCAATAAAATATTTTAATGTGACATTTCACTTTACAAATGTTTCATAAATTTCTCTGTCTTACAGAAGGGCTCCCTAGCCTCAACATGGTGATGACTACTGCAAGGATCATTGCAAATTGAAAGTGCTTGCTTAAAGATCTTACTTGTTAAGACTTAGTATGCTTAAATTTAGTATTTAATAAGGTTCTAAAGGAAAGAGCACTAGTAACTATGTAAAATAGAGTAAGAATAATACTACATAATACTACAGTAATACTGCGTTACAAGCAGTTTGTCAATATAGATTTAGGATGGGAAACAGCCAGGGCTTTCTAAACACCAGACTAAAAGAGAATGAGCTTGGACTACAAACAACTTGATAGACTGTCTTATATGGGTTTATGAAAGGCAGGTCCTGCTTGACAAACCTGATCTCCTTCTACGACAGGGTGACCTGCTTATGGGATGAGGGAAAGGCTGTGGATGTTGTTTACCTTAACTTTAGAAATGTCTTTGACACCGTTTCCCGCAGCATTCTCCTGGAGAAACTGGCTGCTTGTGGCTTGGGTGGGCACACGCTTTGCTGGGTAAAAAACTAGCTGGATGGTCGGGGCCAAAGAGTTGTGGTGAACAGAGTTAAATTTGGTTGGCGGCCGGTCACAAGTGGTGTCCCCCAGGGCTCGGTTTTGGGGCCACTCCTGTTTAACATCTTTATTGATGATCTGGACGAGGGGATCGAGTGCACCCTCAGTCAGTTTGCAGATGACACCAAGTTGGGTGGGAGTGTTGATCTGCTCGAGGGTAGGGAGGCTCTGCAGAGAGACCTGGACAGGCTGGAGCCATGGGCTGAGGCCAACTGGAGGAGTTTCCATAAGGCCAAATGCCGGGGGCTGCCCTTGGGCCACAACAACCCCCAGCAGCACTACAGGCCTGGGGAGGAGTGGCTGGAGAGCTGCCAGTCAGAGAGGGACCTGGGGGTGTTGATTGACAGCCGGCTGAACAGGAGCCAGCAGTGTGCCCAGGGGGCCAAGAAGGCCAATGGCATCCTGGCTTGTGTCAGCAATAGCGTGGCCAGCAGGGACAGGGAAGGGATCTGACCCCTGTACTCGGCACTGGTGAGGCCGCCCCTCGATTCCTGTGTTCAGTTTTGGGCCCCTCACTACAAAAAGGACATTGAATGACTCGAGCGTGTCCAGAGAAGGGCAACGGAGCTGGTGCAGGGTCTGGAGCACAGGTCGTACGGGGAGCGGCTGAGGGAACTGGGGGTTCCCTGGAGAAGGTCTGGAGTCTGGAGAAGAGGAGGCTGAGGGGAGACCTCATCGCCCTCAACAGCTACCTGAAAGGAGGGTGCAGAGAGCTGGGGATGAGTCTCTTTTAACCAAGTAACAAGCGATAGGACAAGAGGGAATGGCCTCAAGTTGCACCAGGGAAGGTTTAGACTGGATATTAGGAAGCATTTCTTTCCAGAAGGGGTTGTTAGGCGTTGGAATGGGCTGCCCAGGGAGGTGGTGGAGTCCCCATCCCTGGAGGGGTTTAAGAATCAGGTCAACATAGCCCTGAGGGATCTGGTGTAGGTGGGAACTGTCAGTGTTAGGTTAATGGTTGGACTGGATGATCTTCAAGGTCTTTTCCAACCTTGATGATGCCGTGATTCTGTGATATTATATTGATAAATAATGAGAATAAAATAATCATAAAACAATAAAAGGATCTTGCATTGAGACAATGTTTTTCCAGCACTAATTACACACTCATGGCAAAAATATCACCTCAGAGCTGCAGAAGCTGAGACCCTCCCTGACTCTCCTCTGAATTTAGAGATTATTGGTTACAATTTTCTGCCCTGATACATTAACTATCAGTATTCCTCTAAAATACCATTTAAAGAGTTTGCTCCTTGTCTTTAACATTTGTCTTCATTTAACATCCATATTCATCAGCTAAGTATATTTTTACATAACCATATGACATGAACGCTTCATATACCGCATATACCACACCGCCTCAGTCATTGTTACATGATGAAGATTTTCATTTCCATCACTTACTGGCATGCAAGCTTTACCTCTGGCACTCTCAGCTCACAACTGATGTTTAACACCCTATCTGCACTGACTTTTCATGGTGTTTGTCTGGTGTTCTTCTGTTATTTTCTATGGTTTTTACCAATATATTTTATTTGGCATGCCATATTAAGAGTTGACACTCAACTGTCCAGTGGTCACACATTTTTTTAGTTTTCCCAACTGCTGTCTTTTTAATTTAAGGAATCTTTCACTTCTAGTAATTCCCTTTTCCTCCTTTCTATCTTTTTACTCAGTGTTTAAGCAACTGTCTGATAACTGTTAAACTGACATCATTTTCATTTTCACGTGATTTATTAGTTTGCTTTCTGCTCAAATCAGATCAGTTTTATTTCCTGAAATCTCCCCTCTTCCCCTTGACTTAAACCAAAATTTTGACATGCCTATTATTGCAAAGTTCACCAGAACAGACTTAAAAGTACAGTCTACTCACGTTTCCAAATGACTCTTGAGCTGCTCATACACCAGTACGTTATTACATTGTTTAGCAAAATGCAGCGCGCTGTTCTGATGCTTTGACAAAATGTTACAGTCTGCTCCGCTTTCAATCATAAGCCGCACTATATCAGAATTCCCTCTTTTACAAGCCTGTACAGAAAGTGAGAAGATGGAAGGATAGACAACAATGTAAAATTTCCCATTAGAACAGAACATAACATTGCAGTAAGCAGAACTGCAGAAATGAATTAAAATTAAAATTAGTTACAATTCAGAAAACAAGTTCAGGCATTTAATCTGTGAATGGTAACACAATTAAGAACTCAGAAGCACATGCCATAAATATTTTACCTTTACCATAGTAATGTTATACACCTGGTCTCGCAGCACCACTCAGGATTACCAAGTGGATCAATTAACTCAAACATGAAACAAACCCCAAAAGTTCTGTTAAAATATCTAATCTGCTGGAGTTCACTAACTCTTGCAATTGTTTACCTGAATAAATGGATTTCTGCATAAGTATTCAGAATGACTAAAGTAATACTTCCAAGTGTCTGTCTCTAGGAATCTCAGTTCAAATAATACTTGAGGCATGAAGTAAACTAATATAATTTGCTCCAAATTGTTATTTAGCTATTGTAGACAGTCACTGTTACTAACTGCTGTGATCAAGGCTGTTCAGTGTTACTTACAACAAGATTTTCAGGGTTTATCAACTGAAGACTCAACAAAAGTACAGGAAAGTCTAAAGAAAGCTTTACTTTGAAGAATGCAAACATATGCCCTTGGTCTCTTGTTTTCAAACACTTCACTTAGACAAATTAGGGAAAGGCACCAGAAACAAATTTCTATTAGCATGAGGCCTTTCAGAAGTTAATTTCTAAAATTTGTTTCAGCTGTGAACTTTCATATGTGCTTTCAATCCATAATCTTCCATAAATAAACTCACCTGTCCCCCCACAAACAACCCAGTTAAATAAAAGTGTCTAGATAAACACATTTATGTATTTATCCACACATGGATGAATCTGTTCCACTAACTTACTGGAAATGAAGACCCTATTCTTTGTATCTGCACAGCAAAACAAAGATCTGGAATAAGTCACTGTAGACTGCCCATTAGAAAGTAAGTACAGATTTGCATCAAATACTAATAAAACCTTTAAAAACAATGAAGATAAAAACTGAGGTTCATGGAGGTAGCCAAATTATGAAGAGATTTTGGACTGAAGTGGCCGAGGAGACCACAAGTGTGTTATTTTCTTTATAGAATTCTCCACACTTGCAGAGGAAAGAAAAGAAACAGTATCACACTGTCTTGGACAGAAAGGCATGTTGTAACCTCTTCTGCAAACAAACTGCCTTAAACAGCCTACATATAAGTTAAGCAAGTTTATCACGACAGGGAATTTTGGTGAAATTATTTAATATAAACAAAACAAAAGGAGCACAGACTGTTTTAAGGATCTTGGGATTTTCCAATTACAACAAACTAAGAAACAATACATTAAAAATTTCCTTTGTGATAGGGATAAAGGTGCAGAACAGCAGAACAGACAGTGGGAAGGAGGCTGCAAAGCAGTTATTTTACTTCTGGCCTGCAATGAAATGACAAAAGTCAGTCACAGCAACACCCACGTGAATTCTTATCTTCCTGCTGACAACCAGATTATGTCAGTTATAAGACCACATCTGCATTTCTTTGAGTCAATGAAGAGGATGATGAGCGATATTTAGCACTGCTGACGGCATCTGCATTTATTGTTTAGATATAACAGTAAATTTAAAAAATGGGTAAAAACACTGCCCAGAATAACTAAAAGTAGTATTTGATTTTCAAATACAGTAACATGTTCCCTAAATCAACTCTACAAATACACTTTTATGTTTTATCAGTTTGCCAAAAGTATTTACTATTAAACTGTATCAGGACAAACACTGAAATTACCTTCATTAAAGCAGTTTCGCCACTGCTCTGCTGCATGTTCACATATGCCCCAGCTTCCAAAAGAATAGCTACTGTTGTTAGAAAATTCTGAAAAAAAAATGCAAAACCACAAGGAGTAGAAAATATTGTCTTCTACTTGGTTTTGTTTCAGTATATAAAGTGACATTTATTTAAAATCCATCAGTAAAATCCAAAGCATGAGGCATGACATAATTAACGTTGTTCTCTCCCATGACTAATAAAGAGCAATTCAGACTCACACAAGTAGATACCCATGAGTATTTACAATTCTTACTTTTTTTCTAAGTATTGCAACAGTGAACACCACAGGAAGAATACAGTATTTCTGCATTAAGCACCAAACTGGATTCCAGCTCCCTTCTATCTGCAGCACATAGGAAAACATATGAACCAACTTGAACAAAAGAGAAGAGCTTGTCACCATCTCCATCTCCCAACTCTCAAACAGTAATCCCTGCTTAATCAGAGATTTGCTCTCAAAGTTTCCCAAGTTTGGATCCTGTGTAGCCACAGATCACAACACACAATTTATTTACATTACAGTAACCACAGCTGCTGAAATTATGCAGTTAAGGTCACTCTGCTATATCCTACTAAGTACTTTTTAGGCACCCTCCAAAGGAAAAAAATTGTGTACCACTTTTAAGCATAAGTAAAAGAGCCAAGAACCACAAATACAACAGTAACCAAGCCAACCTTTTCAGCTGCGTGTATCAATGCAGTTGTTCCATTTCTCTGTCTACCATTAACTTTAGCTCCTTTCCTGATTAGGACCCGGAGAAGGTCATCATGCCCACCAGCAGCAGCAAGCATCACTAGGGTCATTCCACTCGAGTCCTGCAACAACAATCACTGCCATTAAAAAAAAAAAAAAAAAAATCAAATATTTATAGACAAATCAAAACTGCAAGACAAAAATTGCAAGTGTGTCAACAGGTTTCTCAAAGATTCCTCTCCCTGGCAGAAAAATTCACATAAAAATGGCTGCCGGACACTGACAAACTATCACTTCCCACTCCTTTTGTCCCCAGGCCTCACACTCTAAACTCCATAATCTGCAAACATTCCAAGGACCAGAACAAGAAGGAAAAACAGAATGAGCCAGGAAAAAGGGTAGCAAGGTATTTCAGGGTGGGGAAGACAGCAAGACAGTGGAAAAAGAAATCAAAAGCCACTGGAGGAAAAACACACTGGCTCAGATCAGCTGCTGCCACAACGCTGCTTTTGGATTTATCAGCATAAGTATGAAGAGACTTCTGTGAGTGGGCAGTCTCGTCACTCATTCTTGCATTTTCCCCTAAATACTATCCAAAGAACACATACTTGCCTCAGTATTCATTTGGCATCTTTTCTACTATGAAGTCTTAGCCTAATGTACAGTTCTCAAAATGCTACTGGTTATGAGATGGGGAGTCTAAACCACCTTAGATTGATGGTGCAAGACTGGGGAAACTTTGGAAAAGACAAAAGGAGGCACAAAAGGAGGCGTATGGGGCTGTTTGCAAAGACATACCAGGTGCTGATAACGTTGCTAGGCTACTATTTCCTAGCTCAAAGAGAAGCCTCCTCTGGTCCTTGAAGTTGTGGGTATCAGCAACAGATGACCCCAAATTCCAGTGCAAACTGGCCTGGCAGTTTGGTCAGAAGCCAGAGAACAACTGAGGTTGCGCAGAGCAACAGGGTGAAAAGTTCATCAGCAAGGAAGAAGAGGTACTTAATCTATACTGACCAGAACTTGAAGAGTTCATCTCGCAGGTGCAAGGGGAGGAGACCTGATTACCATGAGAAGCGAGAGGAGGCACGGGTAGACTATGTATATGTATAGGCGTTCTATGAATATGCACTACTTTGTAACATATAAGCCGGACGGGAGCTGCAAACGGTGCGCATGCTTGTGGTGGAGCGATCCCCCATGCGCCCAGCACTACCTACTTTATAACCCCACAGTTATAGAGTGATTTTTCCGCAAGTGATCTTGGCACCCCAGATGGGGTAAACTCTGCTTGGCTGCCAGGACTGCTGGCGGGTGGACTTCCTAGGTGCACTCCAAGCTCTTCTTGGAGGAACTTCTGCTCCCAGCTGTCCACTGCGGGAGCAGACAAGGACCATCTAATCCGCGGAGAGAGATATAAGGGTAATAACAGGCTGCTGGTAAGACGCACAGAGACGTCTGGCACACAGCTCAGTCCTGAGGAGGGGTTATACCTATTTGGTTTTGGTAATCCGCAGGAAAGGAGTAGTAAGATCTTTTGGGGCAAACTACAGATGACTGGTATATAAGAGGCAGTTTGCATTTTGGGCAGGGTACTGGTAATTACCAGCACCTGCAGAATCTTGCTTCAGGTCATTGTATAGTGCACTAATTGTGGATATACTGGCTTTGAACTGACTGCTAATTGTTAATGGTTTATGATATATGTTACAAACGGACTTGGTGATTGTTTAAACTCAGTATATTTTGTGGTATGAGTGGAAAGTGTGGTGGGTCCTTTATGTGTCTGTGTGCCTGCATGGCGTGAGTGAGAGCGGCCGCCGCTGCGTGTCTGCATGCCTGCAGGGCGTGAGTGAGAGCGCTGCGTGTCTGCATGCCTGCAGGGCGTGAGTGAGAGGCCGCCGCCGCTGCGTGTCTGCA